CAAATGAGCAAACCTTTTTAGGCATGAAGTTGGTGTTATCTCAACAGTACTCTAGTACCTGTGTCGCAAGGACACTGATTCTGTGGCACATTGTTGTATGACTGGCAGGTTACTTTCTCACAACTTGCAATGAGAGAATAACACTGTCATCAAATAGAAACAATATTGGGTGGAAATTTTTAAAAATGTAGTTCTGCTTTCATTAGACGAAATTTGTCTTAAGTAGCAAGTTTATGATATCTGAATGGAAAAAATTAGCATAACCATGATGTGGATCTTAAGGTGATTAATTCAGTGGCTGTGCCTTTGTTTGGTGTTTGGCAAATTAGGAAATAGGTTTATAAAACATAAAGAAAAGATGAATGTCTGTTTAAGGGACTTTAAGGAATTTAAATGGAAAGAACTTCAAGGAATTGCTGGACAATTTCTTCTTTAGTTTTCAAGCTCTGTTTCATAAAATTCTGTTTAAAACTGCCTTGGAATATAGCGTAGCAGGAGTACAGGAAGAGGAACGTTAAGGTAATGGAAGTGTAAATATAATACAATTAATCAAATGGGAAGAAGTGTGTTGTATAGAAGCAGAGGAGGCTTATTAGTGACGTGAAAATCTGATGGAATCTCATTCTGAACAGTGGGTACAGAATCAAATGTTGAAAATGCTGTTCAACAACTCAGCATTATACATACCATGCACTGAATAGAGCAGGAATTCTCTTTTTTTAGCCATTTTTGTATTTCAAGATATTACCGTAATGCATTTATACAGGGATTGAATTCAGATTTGCACATAAGGCACTTCTGGTCTCCCAGTTCCCCTGGTCTGTAATCAGATATTTTGAGAAATCCTAAACACCTTCCCTATGAAATCAAAATTTGGAAAATATTTGATTAAAAGCTGTCTTCTGTATGGGCTTTTGGATCATTCTCTGCTGCTCCCTCCCTGACCCCCTCACCAGCCCGGAGCACTTGTATCTTACTTTGGGAACATATGTGTGACGTGATGTCCTGCTTTGTTGGATCTGTGTGATTTGATGACAGTCCAAAAAAAATCCGGAGCTTGCCTGTATCACAGTAATGCTGCGTATGTTTTGTTAGGTTTTTTGGCCCCTTAGAAAATCCTTTGTTTATTACAGGACATCAGTGCCGTATTTGTGGAGTTACCCATTTTGTGTGCATAGCTTTACAGCATTGTACTCCAGCTCGTTTCACGTTGTGCTTAAGAAAACTGTTAGACCTCTCTGACGCGAAATACATGAACAGGAGGAGATGTGCTACTCCTCTAGTTATTCCAAACGGGTGTTTCACTTTCTGACCCTTACCACTCCTAACTGCGGTGAGGCTTGTTTCCATCCATGTGAGTCTCCCTGGTTGATTGTGCACTTCCCTAATAGATTCAGCTGCTGTCTCTTAGCCCGTGTTCGGGGGTAAGCAATATTCTGACTGTTCAGCTGCTGCTCCATCAACATGCGGTACCACTAAGGCTTCTTATTATCTCAGGAGATGAAGGAATGGAGATGAGCTCCGTGGTATGAGCAAAGGAAACGGGGCGCCCAAGACACAAACCTCTTGTTAGTGCTTTGTTGCAGCATGTGGAAATGGACTGTGGGCTGCCTCCCGCCCCGCAGGTACTTACTTGTTGGGAAGTAGAGGTCTTTATCATGACAGTAAGATGGGTAACATTAAAGTCAAATAAGTAATTCTGGGTTCATTTGAATTGCATGCACTTTTCTGTAACGGAGCTTTAGGTGTTTTCATGACTCTGCTTCCAGAAATGTGGGTATTGAGCAAGATGGCATGAAACAAAGGGTCATTTTAAAAACGTAACCTCCAAGTTACCAAATGTCTCGGCCTCATTAAAAAAAAAATGATTATTTTTTCTGTCATGTTTACCTTTCTGAGAAGTGGATGTTTGTGTGACATTTGTTTTGATTGAACTAAAGGATGCTGTGAACAGAACTCCGACTATGCTGTAGTAAGCAGACTTCGACCTGTGCATAGTTCACTTGTGATGTCTTCCATGACTGTTTCCTTCTTCCTGAATTATCTGTAGCTTCTTTCCTGGTTACAAAGATTCAGATTCCCTGATCTGGTGAAAGGCAATGGAAATTTGAAATAAGTGGAATAACATAACTGTCTTCTTGACCAAAACTGTAGATCCCTACCAGAAAAGGGCACTACGTTTGTCTAGAAACAATCTAGCAGAAGTTTCACTTCAGTTTGCTTGATAACTTTTTTGCAGCTACAGTCGCTTTCAAATATAGTTTGCATGATACTGAAAATCAGATTTTAATGATTGGGCTGCCAAGGCTGGTAGACTAATTTTAATAGTTTCTCATAACCAGTTAAGAAGGTTCAGCTTTGATAGTTCTTATTTTTAAAACAAATTCTGACATTGTCTAACATGTGCATTAGTACCTATCTGCTATCTACAAGTGTAATGGATTCCTGCATTTGCTTTTGCTCTGATATGGAAGAAACATTTTGGATTTATACTGTTCTTATGTATGTTGCTTAATGAGGGTTGCAGATAATATAAATGATCGGATGTCATCTCCCAGGTACTACACTGTTTTACTTATAGAATCATAGAATGGTTTGGGTTGGAAGGGACCTTAAAGATCATCTAGTTCCAACCCCCCTGCCATGGGCAGGGACACCTTCCACTCAACCAGGTTGCTCCAAGCCTCATCCAGCCTGGCCTTGGACACTTCCAGGGATGGGGCACCCACAGCTTCTCTGGGCAACCTGTCCCAGTGCTTCACCACCGTCTCCGGGAAGAACTTCTTCCTGATATCCAATCTAAACCTCCCTGATTTCAATTTGTACCCATTACCCCTTGTCCTGTCACTACAGACCCTTGTAGAAAGCCCCCCCAGCTTTCTTGTAGCCCCGCCCCTTCAGGGAAGGTGCTATAAGGTCTCCCCGGAGCCTTCTCTTCTCCAGGCTGAACAAGCCCAACTCTCTCAGCCTGTCCCCAGAGCAGAGGGGCTCCAGCCCTCGGAGCATCTTCGTGGCCTCCTCTGGACTCACTCCAACTGGTCTATATACTTATGTTGAGGGCTCCACAGCTGGACGCAGCACTCCAGGTGGGGTCTCCATGAATTGTCTCCATTGTTGTCAGCTTTCCTTGTTGCACGAGGGTACCAATTGCCACTGCTGGTTATACATAGTGGTGAAAAATCGCAGGAGCTAGTGGCAGAACAGGATATGGCTCAAGGCATGGAGCACATAAACATATGTTTATCTATTCTCACTAAACAGGTCTGCAGTCCCACTGACCCTTCCCAGTCGTTGTCATGTACACACAGGATGTGGCTTGCTGCCATGACAGTTAATTTTCCATTGCATTCCAGAGCAAGAAGATACCAAGATCCATTGGTATTCATTTCTGTTGAGCTGACATCCTCTGAAGGGCATATGCATCGCAGCATTCATATCAGGTGTTTTGTTTCAGGGCATTTTAAAATGCGTCACGGTTCACACTCGAGCAGTTGTTAGAGAAGTAGACCTGACACCAGGTTGCCAGCTATCTTGTTTTGAAAGACCAAGATTTCCAGCCTCTATGCTTTAGCCATGCTGAACTGGTGAACTCAGTTATAGTAACACGCCAGCCTTTTGGTTCTTTATGGCTATTAATGCTTCCTTCTTTCCTTTTGAGGTGGTGGGATTGGGCTGTACCTGCTTGATTTACCTCCTGCTCTACCACTTCATTCATGCAGACGCCGACAGGGGTATTTTATGATCAGTGTTTTGCTTGCGCTGCATAACGTACAGCACGACAAAAGGACCTAAATTAAATCCAATGAACTCTGGGTCTCTTATGCAATGGCCTGTGCTTCAGCTGCTCGATGCTAATCTTTGTTACAAGTTTAACACTTACTGTACGAGTAATCTTTTTTCTCTTTGTTAAATAGCAGATGGATTTATCATTCTTTCTTCCCTTTTCAGCTCTTATGCAAGAAAATAAGCCGGTTTGTTAGAATTTGGCCGTGTGTGTATACGTTCCTGACTTCTCATTATTGCTTCACGACTTTCACTAGCTTTCACACTGAAAATTCTGTTTTAGCAACTAGAACCTGTAATGAGTTCTTGTTGAGCAGAAGCTATTTGTACTTGAGCCGTGGTTTTGAAATCTCCTTGGGGTAGGCTTTTGAAAACGGCAAGTAGACAGACCCACTGGAGTGCGGTTTCTGCGTTGCCACCGGTGCTCTGCAGGGACTGCGCTGTCTGCCCAGAGTTAAGAAGGGGGAGGATGCATCAAGTACTAAAAAGTAGATTGTGCTGGGAGTGGTTGTGCTGGAGTTTGGTTATTGCTGCTTCTGAAGCACTCAGCACTGCCTTGGGGTTAATAGCTTTATTTGTGGAATGACGTAGGCTAGTGTGAGATAAGACCAGATTCTATTATGCTTTATGTATGTGTGTGGCAACTTGGAGTATGAACTCTGTCTTTGCAGAGCTGCTGTTGCTAGTAGTTCTGCTTTCTCATGTTGCCTTAACGGTAGGTATTTGTAGTCTGAGAAGAGCAGGCTTATTTCTGACCCAATTCCACACTGAAAGCTTAAAAAATTCAGTCACTGAATCATGACAGATGAACTAATGCTCTACGTATTTTGTTTCCAGATTTCTCCACAAGCTTTACATAGGGACTATTAACCCAGTTCATTTTTCTGTAAATAAAATGGATAGAGATTGGGAGCCATAAGGAGAGTTCATGTCCATCTAGATTAGAACACCATGTGGTAGCGTTATATTTGTTTTCACAAACATTTGAGTAATATAATTGTTCAGATGGAAAAGCAATTTTATGAAAACCTTTTACTGTACTGTATTTCATTGATGTTATCCAACATGAGGTACAGCTATTAATATTGCAGAAAATTTAAACAGTTGTGTGAAAAACACTTCCAACTTTCAAATGTAGGGAGCAGCAATGCTTTGTACTGCTGTCAAATCAATATCTCTCTCTCTGTTTCTTCTACCATTTCCCTTTCTTTTCCTAGGTGCATTTTACCTGGTATTTGAATATATGGACCATGACTTGATGGGACTGCTGGAATCTGGTTTGGTTCATTTTAATGAAAATCATATTAAATCCTTTATGAGACAACTGATGGAGGGCTTGGCCTATTGCCACAAGAAGAACTTTTTGCACAGAGATATCAAATGTTCAAATATTCTACTAAATAATAGGTATGGATATTACTTAAAATGTGTAAAAGAAATACTGTATGTTAACGATGTCTTTTGTAGTTCACCTGCTTTTTTAGATTGCCTATTTTCTTTAAAATGAACTGTGAAATACTAATCTGGTAATATTACTGCTTAACACTGGGTCCTGCAATTGTTTGTTAAACTATCTGTGTTAAAACAGCAGGATTTAAACTTGAATCTTGTAGGTCAGCCTATGGAGGAAAATAACCCGAGTTCAAATATATTAAACCAGGATTTTAGGACCCAAGCGTTTGTTGTGTGTTCTTTTGGCCATCTCATTTACAGATGAAGCGTGGCTAGGCTGACTCTTAGTGACTGAACTCCGAGGTCCTCATCCTCATCGGTCAGGATAATGCTTGAAAATGCCATTCCATCATGCGTGTGCAAGCATGCTTTGGCTTGTAGCTGTAGCCATAATCAGGAGAAGAGTTAGTTTCTTATTTCTTTAATGACTTTTAATTACAAATCATACTAGTTAGTAAACGTGCTTTTGCTCAGCGTGCAACAGCATCAGTCAGTGAGACTGTGAAGGTAGTGGATAACCTCAGTACAGAACTGCTGTTCATCGAGTCCAGCAGGACTGAAGCCAGGGAGCAGCTGTACGAGCGGGGTTTGCAACAGCAAAAGGGATATCTTTACAGGCAGTCAGCTTCTGGGATTTGTCGTCACAGGCGGTTTTCCAGGTAGTGTCAGGAGATTCAAAAAGATGACAGGATCATCAACCCCTACTAAAGGGCATAGACAGGAATACCCGTTGTGTCCTTAACACAGTGATTGTGGGTGGTGAAGTATGAGGAAGGTGAGCCCCAAAGTGAGCACATTCACATGTTCTTCCTAAAAATCTGCTGCTGTCGGAGACAAAATCCTGGGCCAAATAGATTAAGGGTCTGTTCTAGTAGGACCCTTGTTTTGTCTCCTCTTTCTCCACATGAAAGTTTCCATTTTTGCCTCCTTTTTTTTCCTTCTAATTCACTGACATTAGACTATTTCAGCCCTGGATCCCACTGCAGCGTTGCCAGATCATGCTGCAGGCCCTTAAACACCTCATCGTGCGTGCCAGCTGAGCGGTGGTGCTGCGGTTTCTGTGCACCTTGCAGAACTCGGAAGGTGTAACCTGACAGCGGAGGGGAGAGCGTTAGGGTAGAGGTGGAGCTTTCTGTTGTACTGCGCTCTCTCCAATCCAGGATGCAGAGTCTTTTCCCCTAGGATGTTTTTTGAGCATCCTTAGACGTTTCCACGGGAAGAAGAAAAAGTTGATAGTTGATCTGAATGTTTTTAAGCAATGTTTCTAGAACCCCATTCCCAGTTACAGCCTGAAGCCAAACACATGGATTATACATCTTTTAGATATGCAACTTAAACATCTTTGCTCAAAAATTCATTGAATTTCCACAAATATGCTCGCCGAGGAAATAAGCGTGTAAATCTGAGGGGAATCTTCTTTGTTTATGGGAGTTCTCCAAGTGTTACAGCAATTCCAAGCACACATCTGAGGGGAAAAATGGAACAGAAGCTATAACCTGTGATTTTATTACCACAAAATGGTCATTTTTAACACACATCAGCA